CACTGTAACCAGTAGAAAAGACAATACAAGGGGATGGAGATTTGATGTAGTATAAGTTCAGTATGCAGTAGAAAGGTCAACAAAGCAAGTTATCGACAATATATGATTTCTTCAAATTCTGAAAGGCACTTACCTCGTCAGACACCACATTGAACAACTTCAGATCTCCAGTATATGTACCTAATATCAAATGCTGCTGTGTCGGCTGTAAAGTAAAAACATCATAGCAAATCAATCAGGATAGAAAATAGGATGTTACATAAAATTCTGGTATGGCATGAACGAACATTTTAAACTACGTTCTCAACTTCTCGTGTGAAAACAAGGAACAGAGATATTATTTCTCAGAGAATATTTACAGATAAGACTATATTTAGAGGTTAAAGGAGGGGGTTGTGGAGATGTTCACAAAAAAGGGCTCGGTCAAGGTTTTCATGGCCTGAATCAATGTTAACAGGTAAACAAGATTAAACCTGAGGAAAAAGAGAAGCCAATCATTTTTGAAATGCGAAAAAAACACTAGGATTTTTTTTTTATTTCCTTGGGTTTTTAAAGCAAATTGAAGCTTGAGCAGGCAGAATGGGCTGTTCTCTAAAGAGGGCTTATACAGTATGAAAACAATTAATAACACAGATAAATTAACGAAGTTAAAATTCGTTTACCTTAGGATGTTCATATAAGAAAATGTCATAGTTCTTGCAGTAAATCTCAACATTATACAAGTCTGGTGTTCACTTACCGCAAATGCACAACAGGTAAAGCCGAAATTATCATCACCATCTTTGAAAGTTTTAAAAGGTCGAAATCTGTTAAACAGGAAAAGTTTATCAAAATTATTATATCACATTTTCTGTTTCAAATATCCTATCATTACTGTCAAATTCTAATCCCATTGATATCCTTACTGTTTCCACTGGGACTTCTTAAAAATACAAAAATAATTAGCAAGATTAAAACATGTCAGAAAACTATATAGCAGACAGTGTATTTAAAACAAATTGATTACAAACATTTCATGAATATCAAATTATTTCAATTACAGGATTTCACCAAAAAAGTATAAATTTTATCAGCAGGACAATAAAATCACCAAGCAGTGCCTGGAAGCGTTACACGTGTGTCTCGTTTTTACAGGATACAAAACAAAGATTTAAAAACGAACATAATTTGATGGAGAAATATCAGCGTAATAAATCAATATATGTAAATGAGGTATATGTAAATGAGGTATTATGTTAATGAGGTATATGTAAATGAGGTATATATAAGGATCTTCTCAGGAAGTCTGGTAAACAGATTATCAATCATGAGCATAACTGTATGTATGTTCACTATGTTGAGTATATATTTATAGCTCTAAGTATTCAGATGTGTGGATAAGTAAGAGGAACAACAAAATATGGAAAACATACTTTAGTATGATATGAGGATGAAATGTATAGTTGTCTAAAAACATATTGAGTTCCTTACCTGCTGTAGATGAATTTATGATTTGCACTAGCACCTTCAAGACCCCCATATCTTGGTTGTATCTAAAAGTAAAAGAACTCGTTATAACATAAACAAAATGCAGTGGATGATAAAAGTGCTATTAAACAATTTTTATGATTAATTATTTTAAAAAAAACTTGAATCTTTCTTGGTCTTAGTAAAAATATCAAGAAAGTTATACCAAACATTCTGGAAACCTTGTCGGAAGTTTGATCATTGATGGCATACATCTTTACAATAAAAACATCTGTTTTCTGATCAGATGTTTGTATGTGTTAAAATGTATTTGTCACAAGCTCACAATGCCTTTTGATATGCCTCAACATGACCTCTGGACAGATTGAAAGCTTAGCCGGGACAAAAACGTGTCTGTTCATGTATACACGTGTAAGTCAGTATATGTTACCTTTCATTAATAAAATAGACTAAGTGATTGGTGAAAGTTGTTTTGGACTAAAATGTCAGTTTCTCAAACTCCAAAATTTGTTTCCCTTCTTATTCTGGCACTTATGTTTGGAATTTGATATCATTAATAGATGACTTTAACCCTGGGGAAAAAGTGTTATATTCGGTAAATATAGCATTAAGTCAGAAGGAAACCGTCTGTATCAGATATTCCGAAGTGGTACAGATTCTTCTTGGTCTAGTACAGAAAACAGTTGCCTGGATGTCCTACCTGGCTGTTGAAGAAGCGCGAGGTGAAGTTTGCCGGAGCACTCCTCTTCCCCCGCGGCTCTGGACATCGGTGTGGTCTATAAATAAATACAGTAACTCATCTTTATCCGCACTGATGAGAACTGGTAGCAGAAGGTTTGTATGGAGCTACGTTTCTGTTCAAAATTCCTGGGAAGATTTGGTTATGCATATTAACATAGAAGTTTTACACTAACTGCACTGACATGAACATAATTTTTTTGACTTTCTCGCTTTATTTCAAAGGCTACATGTGTTTCTATCTGTAGTACCTGTTTAATATATTGTGAAAGTGTAAAGCCTCATGAAGATGTAATATAAATGAAAATCAAAAGAAAAATCTGAGAAAAAAGTTGAAATTTTGGTAAAAAAAATGTATACATACTCAACCTATCAAGTAGCCAGTTCTCATGTTTCTATATCATTCAAAACAACGAAGAAACAAATTAATCACGCCTCAAGGATCAAACGACAATCAAATTCCATAACTTACTGAAACAGAGACATCTGGGGACAGGTCGCTACAGGGTTCCGACATAAAGCATGCTGTTTCCGTAAGTATTCAGTCACAATCTTGTCCAGAGTCATCTCAAACTCCCCGCCTGTTTTGCCCAAAGCGCCTCTGTTTCGTAGCGCTGGACTTCCGAGGCCACCCTCTTTTTCCCGGTTAAATCGGCATCGAGTGGGCTGCATCTACAAATCCAATCACAATATTTACAGTGCCAAGACTGTATGAACAATCTTTTTTATGAATAGAAAAAAAATTCCAACTTATACAAGGAGGAGTTGTGGCAAATGAATCAGAAAATTTAATCGAAATTCAGGGTAAATAAGACACTTTATAATTGATGGTATACCTTTTCTTTGGTTGTGTCTTATCACCCCTCCCATATTGTTGATTTTGAATCAACCTAAACCCAAATTTTTCAACCATCTCCTAAATCATTTTTACATTCTAGTGACATTGGTATGTTTTGTTATACACATATCCAACATCTAAATAAAGCATGTGTGAAGTAGCCAATGTAGGGCTGAATTACTATTATACCATCCGTCAGATGGAAATTGAACCTTACCCGTATCACAC